GCCCATATGTGCCAAAATAGAGGGACCAACATTGGTGCTGGTTTTCCTTAAACAAACAAGATGAAAAGGGGTCTTTCCTCGCGGGTAGTCCTTTAAGTTCAACCAGAACACCACCAAAACAGCAGGAATCATTCCCTGCCCTTTTTCTCATGACTTTTGCTAGGGGAAGCCTCACTTGGGTGATTCCCAGTTGGGTTTGCTCTACACTCAGAAAAGGGCAACACCTGGAGTCTCCATGACCCTTACAAAATGGGGGTAGTGAGCCCTTGATTTGCGGTCATGGACCCTTGTTTGTCTAATGACCCCGGTGATGGAGACTCAAAGGGCTACCCTTCCGTTGCTTAAGAATATTTAATTTTCATATTGTCCTCTGTGTTTTTTAGGGACGATTTTTCCTGTAGGGAAATAGTTCTCGTTTTCTCCCAAGGACTCAGCAAATGGAGCCCTCTCTCCTGTTTGTATTTTTTTGTTTCCCCCCGTTGGTTTTGATTAAATGGAATCTATCACTACCAGGACCCTCCAATGGCTGGCAAATGGTCTGTAGAATGATGGCCGTTTTGAGGTTATTTGCCAGCCTTTGGGGGGTCCTGGTGCTGGATGTTCCTTTCGTTTTCTTCGGGGAGGGTCTGTTTTTTGTCCCCCTCGGAAGTTTCGAGCCACGAGTCAGGACTGGGACGTGCTCTTCGAGGCCAAAGAGCTCTTTGCCGACCGCGCCGGCGGCGGCCGCGCACTGAGAGCGATGGAGGGGCGGTTTGGAGTGGCCTTTTCAAACATAGGTCTGTGTCTGTGTCTGTGTCTGTCTGTTTGTCTGTCGGTCTGTCTGTCTGTCTGTCTGTCTGTCTGTCTGTTTGTCTGTCGATCTGTCTGTCTGCCCGTTTGTCTGTCTGTTTGAGCGCTGACTCGGCCATTTGGGGCTTACCTAGTGGTCCAAATGATTGATGAAACCACTGACATACTGTGGATGGTTGCGAAATCCGATTGCACCAAATTGAAACCAGGGAAAACCATTGCGGTATCGACCGGGGAATCACCAGAAACCTGGGTTTGTTGGGTGGTGCTGGCAAATGGTCTGTGATTGAAGTGATCCAAGGGAGGTTTTTGGCACCATTTGCCAGCCATTGGGGGGTACCATTTGGCTTGGCGAAGAAACACCGACAAGGACAAAATGAAAACCACGTTCTTGAGGACTCGGTACCCCTATTTGAACACATGTAATATTACAACGAAGACGGACGGTTGGCCGTCGGCCGCAATGGTCATTTGTCACGCGTCCAGCCACGGCAGTGCGTCAGGTGAGAAGCTGTCACGCGGGGGAAGCTTGACTTGCCCCCCAGACAGCTCCAATCTGTACTGTTTGCAAGCTTTCAAGATGGTTCCCATCCCCGACATTCTGTGCAAAGCTGCCGAAGCAAGAACCTGGACCCGCGTTCCAGCGGCCAAGGACTCCAAGTCGCCGCATGTTGCCTTTCACAGCACCCAGGCGACCGTCCGCCTTATTATCTCCAGCAGCAACACTGAAGGACTTGCGAGTTTCCCGCGCCAGGTTTTTCTCTGCGCACTTTTTTCAAAGTGCGTTAGGCAAAGGCCCCTAACTTGGATTTCGCAATGTAGTAAGAGGTGTAAAAGCGTTTTCGGGCAAGACTCACCCTCTTCAGCAAAGGCTTCTGCAGCGTAGATCACGCCTTTTGGAATGCACAAACTCGTCTGGGGCCACAAGCACTCCTGCCTTGAGGGCGCGCGTGAGATGAGGAACTTCTTCCGCAGACTCCGGCCCGCCAACCGCCAAGCCCGACCAACCGCCATGCTGAAACACAAAAGCCTGGTGAAAGTCATCTGGTTCTTGAAGTGGACAAAGGAGAAATGTTGCAACAGAGTGAAGAGGAGGAGGAACATGTTGCACACACCGGCCACGTAGACGAACAAGAATGATTGTTGCCAGGGCTTCCATGGAAGGCAACATTGGGGCTAGAAAGAGAACCAAAATAACGACTGCGGAGTGAATCGAAAATCAAGCAGAATGCCACTAAACACAAAACAAACGGGAGCCTCGTGCCTCAAGAAACAGACACCTAAACCCATCATTTACTTACCTTGTTCTGAATTGAATAAAGTCACGTGGCACTCGCGGGAGCAACACCACCAAAAAAGGGGGGTAGCCTCAAGGAAGAGAGACCCGTTTTGGAAGAAACCAAAGACTCGATTCGCAAAACGGACCGAGACTAGGTCCCCCAGTAGTGCCCTTTCACCCTTTCTTGCGGGAGGGTTCCCCTACTAAAATAGACAGAAAAATTCGGGAACCCTTATTCTAACCTCTCTTCTGGAGGACCTAGGAGAGGAAGCCAAGAGAAGTTCTGCTTTCCCCATAGGTGTCCTTTTTGGATATTTAAAAAAAAAAAAACACGTTGGATTGCGATTCCTGGTTTACCTGGTGGTTTCATCATCCGCCAGGGAAGCCCATCTGGTTCCCCTAGAAGGACACCTACAGCTTTCCCAATTTGGAACAAGCCGAAGACTCGCAAAGCTTTCGACACGGACCAAGGGCTCAACGCCGCGGGGGCGTTGCCGGATGAGGAGGAAGTGCCACTCGGAGTGCTGAAGAGAGAGGTGAAACCTCCCGTAGCACGCAGGGGGTGTCATGTTTTTGAGGGTATATATTTTTTGGGTGGTTTTAATGGGAAGCCAAAAGGGAGACCATTATTTTTGGGCGTCCCCTAAAGATGCACCAAGGCGCAAAGACATTTTTTCCTCGAGTAGCCTACTATACAATGTTGACCCCGGCTCAAGGTGACCTGTTGGATTGATGGTGTTTCCTCAAGAAGTCATGTGCATCCCCATTAAAAAGCACGGATGGCACTTCATCAGAATCCACCAGTGCTGAATCAGCCGAGCTTCCACTGCCCTTTTTCCAATGGTCTTGACATGGGTGTGCTTTCCAGCATGTTGGAAGGCTAACATCCTTTTGGACCCAGAGAAAACTTTCCCGAATCGCCAAGTTCCGGGTTCTAATCTTCAGCAGTGTAGCCTGAATTTGGTCCAAGTGATGTTTAAAATGAGGGGGGGGGGACCTTTCTGTTTTCCGGGGTGCCATCGAGTTTTGATGTTAACTTCGGATGATTTTGGCGGAAGGGCTGGTCCACGTGGATGAGGTCTACCGGCAAAACTTGGAGCTGGAACACCCCTCTAAAGTCTGAGTTCCCACTAAAATGGGACACCCTCGATCAAACTCAACCAGGCACCAGGGATCTCAGTCGAAGCCGTAAGCAGACTCGCGCCGTGTTTTTCCTGCCTTCCACTTTGGCCAGTGCACTGCTCCCTTATTAGTCCGATTCCATATGTGTTCCTCCACTTCTCAGGCCAGCGTGCTTCGCAGGGCTGTTTCAGGTTGTCCCTTGTTGACCCAATTTTGGTTGGATTGGTGGATTCGGGATTTGAACCCTTCGCATTGGAAACCACGCCCTGCCCACCAAAAGCACCCTGTCTGAGAGAAGCTGAGCTGTTGCCCTCAGCCAAGGCTCCACTTTTTGGAGACCGCCTTCGCGGTGGATGCGATTCCAGCTGGCGGTGTTTAAGCTTCCTCCCTTTCAGTGGGCGGCGGCGGCGCCGGCGGCGGCGGCGTGTTGATTTCGCCACCCTTTAAAAGGGAGCAGTCGGGTGCGTCCGGGTCGCCATCTTGACCAAGTCTCCAGGATCCACATGTGGGCCCTTCCTGGAAGCGCCATGCTTCTCAGGCTGTCACGCGCCGGCTTGTGTCAGTCGGCAACAAAGAGCTCTCTCAGCTCCCGCCGCTTTCGCACATTGGTGCCAAGCCGAGCGCGGAAAAAAGAAGAAGTGGAGTCACTTCACATACGGGCTAGGCACTTTGTGCCCATACTCAGGCAGATGGGGTTTTGGAAAATCGGATAGTGGGTCAGTCAAGAGGTGGTTGGCTGATTTCAGGGTTGGCAAAAACACCAGGCCGAGGCCCTCCCTTTCTAACGCGAAGTTGGAGCGACCGTCCAAAAAACAAATGGAAGGCATTTGGGAAATCAATGACTATTTGCCCATATCTACCCAAAGGGAGGCCTCAGGGGGATGAGCCTCTGCCAGTTTGTTTGATTGTTTCTTTGCTTCTACGTTTCATGATAGGTGGCAACTCAGAAGGGTTGGCGCCAGGCTTCACAGTGCGGTCCACCCCTGGTGAAAAAACAAGTTGCCGTGTAGCCCGAACTTCATTTGTTGCAACCACATAAGTTTGTTGCAGAAGTAGATATTGCACTCCCCTGTAGAAAGCTCAGCATTAACCACGTTCGTCAACTGGCTGGTTACTCTTTCGGGCTTTTGGGGTTCGAACAGGGGCCCGAGTGACTGTTCAAAGCGAATCCGCCAGCTTTTGAACGATGTTGGTGTAAACTCCTCGTTGGTTCTGGCTGGAAGGTTCCATAGCAAATTTGACGTCGGCGCGCGCGCGGGTGTGTGTGTTTGTGTGTGTGCGCGCGTATTTTCAGCGGGGACCCGTTCGAGGTCGTTTATTCATAACTTATGTCCACCAACCAGGCCTGCTACCAGGTTAGGTTTGAGGCTATTCCAATCATTCGATTTCATGGCCGCGCAGTGACTACTTGTGAAAGAGGGAATGTATCAAAAGGATTTGTCAAACTAAGAGACCCCGAAAGTTTGGGTGGTGTTGTCCTGTCCTTTCCCTTGAAGGCAACCCAAACACCGTGCCTCAACCCAATCTGAGCTCGACCAAAAGGAAAGTCCCCCGGAGTTTGCTCTGAAGCCGGCAAAAACTTTGAGACCAGACACCACACCTCCTGCAACTTACCATCTTTATGGCCGGAGTTTCGAGCTTTGGACTTCAACTGCTGGGTTGAACCAGCCGGGATTTTTGTTTTCTGAACTGGACCCACAACGAGTGATTCACTCGCAGAAGGGGGGTCCTTCCAGCAAAAACCGATTAAATGGAACCCAAGCTCCACGCCCCCCCCCCCCCTCCCCTTTTTCCGCCCCCCCCAGCTGAG